TCAATTTTGTGCATATATTTTTTTTCCAGATTCCCCATAAAGCTGAAAATGATATTGAAAATTAAAAAAATAAATTGAAAACTCCCATTTTATCGCTTGCACATGTATGTATTTACGTTAGTAAAAATGCAACGATATAGGGCAGTGATGAAATACAAATATTGAGTATATTTTAGTTGCTTCTAAATATTTAAAATGTCAATATAAGGAATGCTTTTAATGTAAATGTGATTTATTGGTGTGTGATTCAGAGAGGCTTGTCACGTAGGCATGTTTCATGAAGCGAGCATTCTTTATGTATATCTCACAATAAGTCTAATATATTCAAAAGAAACCAGGCCAGGTTTTACAGAACTTTTTTTTCTTGCTGTTGATTTTTTTCTCTTTATGTTGGCGAAGGTCATAGTGTATTGAATTTCCTACCAGGGGCTGTTCTACCTACCCTAGTTTTAAATCTGAAAGATAATATACATAATAGAATGAATAGTGTTTCGTCAGTCTGTAATTGTATATTCTCCAGCCTTTCTTGTGAAATATTTTTGAGTCTTTAGTGTTATTGATATGGGAAAAATAGAAATTAGACTCATTACGGAATATTTTTTCTGCGTCCGTGATTATACGCATGCAAACATTTAAGAAATAAACAACGTTATTCAGTGAACGGGGCGTTATGAATAGCAATTAATCGGCTGGCATATTCCATGATGCGCGCTAGGCAATGTGCACGTAAATCTTATCCTCTTTCATACAAGTATTTTTTTATCATATAGAGCAAAGACTACAAATCGTGAAATTATGTCTGGATAAAAAGATTAAATGACTTTCTTGCTTAAAAAAAGATTTCGCAAAAATTAAGTGATTTACAGTATCACTGATGCTGTTATTCTAAGTTGTCCTAATCTGAGAGATGCTTTTTACATCCTGCATGTCTTTTATGACTATCACTATAAATTATCGAGACAGCGAATCTATCACTTTAGTAAACTATTAATGTAGTAAATCTTACATAACTATGATAATTGTCATTCTTATGCCGATACCATATATTCTGATGAGCTTGAGATAAAAGATACCACGGAGTATGACACATCTGTTTCATAGTTTACTTGAAAAGGACGTTAATAGTAATCTAAAAACCAAGCTCAATGATAAATGTGATGACTTTAATTAACTTTTCTAATGTCAACTCCCCATACTCCTGCAGCAACATACCTTAATTACCTGAATAGGCGTTTATATATCTCTGTTGATTCAATATGAAAGAGCATGCTATAAGTATGAAGAATTTCTAAAACGAGGTAAATTGTTGACAAAAAAGTTGATGATACAAGAATTTTAGCAGTCTCGTTTGTACTAATCATTGTGTAACTTCTTCAGAAAATACAATTTATTATTGAGTCAAATACTGACTTACGTTTTTCATCATATTTTCCCCATTATTTATATTCTATATTGACGACAAATTTTCCGTCGATTCCCGATCATGACATGGAGCACACGCCGGGTGTCACCAGTCGGCAGGGGATGCTCACTCCTCCATGACACCTGATTTCACCTCCGATGTGTTTGAGGTCCGTGTTTGCTTTGCTCCTATTTTGTATTGTTTAATGGAATTTTTATCTTTCTTAAATACTGTTCGTTATCTCCATTTCTTTCATTATAATATACATATGTATTTTTTGTAAGGGAATAGCAAAATTGTCTGCATAAATAAACATGCAGGCGACTTCGGCTACAACTATTAACATAAAAGTATAAATCCAATCGGATGGAAGTGATTAGCAACTATATTAAAATATTTATTTTCATTATATTGTACACTAATTATTTGTCTTACAAGATGCCAACTTCTGTTTTTCATAGGAAAACTGTAAAAGGTAGATCATCAAAATGGCTACTGGGGGAAAAGGTATTGTATTGGAATATAAAAGCACAGAGGATATACTGTAAATGTATTACATTTTGTGTGTACGATATTTGTCGAAAATATAATTTTCAAGAAGTTAGCGTAGATTGATTTAGCGCTGTCTGACATATTTATAGTTACAAAATTTAATATACAAGATATTGAATTAAATTGATGACTTGAATTAGCGGACTCTGCTTTCCGCCAAATCGCTAAAAAGAATGCACCACTAAATGTAATACGTTTATTGTATATAGACTTGAAACTATTTTCTAAGATTAACCTATTGAAGAGAAAATAAATTATGTATGATTTATTTGGGGGTCAGATGTCATAGCTCGACCGAATTACACTGCGGGATAATATTTTGCATATTTTTTTCACTTTAAAACTGGTTTAGAACAATTTATTTTGAAATAAAAAAAAAATACTTTATTTTTTGTATTTTTGTTAGAATTACCGTTATTCCAATTAGTTTCTATGACATTACATTACAAAAAATATAAATTCCCTGTTTTAGAACAGTGTAAAAATCTAATTTATCATTGCTTTTTTGTAGATTTAGCAGATACTTTCAGAAGAATTGAAATAAATGATGGTAAATATTGAAGATATTTATAAAAGAGTCAATAAATATTTTATCATTCAGTCCGTTGTTGACTTCCGTCTTTGAAAAAAAAAATTGTCCAGATTTCAGTTTGTCACATCCGCTTTCCTTTCCGAGTTTCGTTGTGTATGACGTCCAAATGTTTAAAAATAAACCTGCAATAAGTTTGTATAATATGTTTCTGTTCAGATACGTAGCTTGCAGCGGCTGTTGCAACTATTGTTTGAAGTGTTGGTTGTGACGTCACAATGCTGCTGCACGCACCATGACTCACCGGTGAATATGGCCTCAAATTCAGTGAATATATGGTGTTATGAATTGTTTGCGCCTGTGTAGATAATATAGGGACTATTAATATACTAAACAATAATGGACTCTTGGCGTTGTTTGTTATTCACCAGAAAAATATCTATATTGACAGAGGCGAAGTGTGTTATTATATACTAGTCTGAATTTGAGTAAATAAATCATTGAAGACTGAATGATGACACCATTATTAACGAAATTCCGCATTGAAAAAAAATGCCACTATTACAGTTTGTCACCGCCAGGCTTTCCTTTCCAAGTTTCGCTTTGTAAAGCGTCCAACTGTTTAAAAATATTCCTGCAATAGGTTTGTATTATTTTTTTCCTGCTCAGATACGTAGCTGGCTGCGGCCGTTGCAACCATTGTTTACATTGATAATGACATTAAGGAAAACTTCTTATAACAGAAATTATTATAATAAACACACAAAAGTAGAGAAATACTTCAGCAAACTATAGAAAAGTAATCTGTCGATATCGTAATTGCATCGGTTCTTGGAACTCGGCTAAATGACTATGGATTTAGGTTATTAATTAACATTTGTGAAAATTGGAACTCACTAACTTTATGCATGAGAAGTATTTGGACCGGAGAGGAATTATCATATCCCCTCAGGTGCTAAGCAATATTTTTGGAAGTAGATGTAGTAGATTCTAATGTTCCAGCATTAGAAAGAAATAAACAGAAGGTGATTCCTTTGTACCAACCATGCTTTGTGTAAAATTACTGTGGCATAAGAAATGTTAATATTTGTCGATGCAAGTAGATGTATAACAAGCACTTTTTTTCAACAAAACAAAAAATTGCATCATTAATTGTGACTGAGTTTGTATAGTACATTATAATTAATAATCTAATTTATGAATAAGCTCTGTCCTTTAAATTCATAAACCCACTGGGACTGTTTTCTTGACAAGCTGTTGGACAGCTTGAGCAGGTATAAAAAGCAGTTCTGGGATTGCTCTCCGTAAGATTAGTGTGAACTGTGCGAGGGGTGATAAAAAAGTTCGCGAATAACTTCCGAAAAAGAAATGATATGTGCTTTCAATGTTGAAAATGTTTTAAAATAGTCCTCTCCTTTTTTAATACGAATCTGCAACCACTCTGCCCAAGCGCAGATGACGTGATGTAGGCGATCACTTGACATACTCTTTAGCGTTCTGTCACAGAAGCTTACATTTTTTTCGGACTCTTCTATTTCTTACCATGCAAGTTATTTTTTTGCAATAAAAACAGTCCTTTGTCAGAAACGGCCTTATCTCTGCATAAGCCTGGGTGGATAATGATATTCTTTTGCAGAATGAGCATGGTGACCATCAAAACCCAAGTCCTCTGTCTTTTGAGCGTCGTTAATTTTATGTGGATAAAGTATCTGTGCCTTCACTTTATCATATTTGATATGTTTAAGGTCTAAAGTAAACGATATCTAAGGGATTTGATTATTTTTTATTGTAAAGATATTTATCTATTTTTCTAACTGTAGTTGGCGATCGTGCAGTTTGCTTTCACCGGGCAACAGAACAAACATTAAATATATATATGCTATTTATAGAACATGTGAATGACTCTATGTGTGTCAAATTTCATTTTGATCTGAATTGCGATTTTGTAAATATGGAGATATTTCGCGAACTTTTTGATCATCCCTCGTATCTCGTTTTAGTATAAGTTTATTGACAAATATGAGGCCTAAATAAAAAAAAAAGTTAATGAACGACATTGACATCTTTGTCAATAACTTCAATTGTTTGCCTTAGGAATCTCTGAAAAATGACCAATGACTTAATTACTTGAGCGAAAAGGTACACATGCGCGAAAAATCAATGAATTCACATTATAGTTCCTTGAATGGCAGATGCGTTTTGTAAAGAAGAGTTTTAGTTAATTATTGCCTCACTCAGAATCTTTTTAACGAAGTAGAACGTTTTCTGTGAACATTTATGGTTTAGTGCTAGATTTACTTTTACAAAATTTCTCCTTTTGCGTTAATTATTCATTAAAGTAATTGAAAAAACAAGTTTCGAAGTATTTATTCAGCGTTTATTTGTTGTATAATTGTTAATTTAATCCCGTTCCATAAATTATTTTTAGAGGTACGTACCTACGGTGTATTTGATAAGGGCACATTTGAATTGTTTTCATTTTGTTAAATATATTATATCAAATTTTGTTCAGGAAAGGATTTAGAAAATGATTCTTCTCCGTGGTCAGATCAATCTACAGAACAATGTAGCCCTCAGCAAACACAACAAACTATAGGTAAGCGGATATAAGTAAAATAAATGTACTTTTTACTGAAACTTGCTTCATTTTTAAAACTTTTTTAACAGTTTAATTCTTTTAAGACATTTCATACAATGTAGTACTTGAGACAATATCTATTACCGTCGCATGTTTTTTTTTCCAAATATATATTTTCAGATGAGACAACAAACGAAGAAACTCTAAGAAGTAAGTTTAATATATTGAATACTGTTCGTTATTTCCCTATCCTTCATATAACACTTATCATAGGACAGAAATATAGCGCTCTTAGAATCTCGATGGAATTTCCTATTACTTGTACATAATTAGGACTGTATCAAGATTAATTTCTTTGAAGTTTTATTTATACACTTTGAATGGAACTCTTTTAAGGTGAATTAAATTGAGTAGCTTTTCAGAAGCCTCAAAATGAAAATAAACAGAATTAGGAATTAGATAGTTTGAATTGAAAACCGAAACCTAAATTTTAGAGTAGATACAAAAATGCTGAGAAAACTCTCATTCTCAGAAAATTGCAATAGCGAAACTAGTCCCCAACCTTCATGTGTAATCTAATTTGTTTTCCCAGATAATTGAAATGCCTTTATTCCATGAAAAACCATGAAAAACGGAAGCGAAACAAAAAGCAAACTTGATCTCATCGCATCAAGGTTAAGTCATATAGCTACCAAAAATCAGATTTAAACGATTTAAGAACGAATTAAGGTTCTAAAAATTCAAGAAGAGCTGAGAACTAGAACCCAAGATTCGTAAAATTCCGAAGTTGGTTGACGAAAAGGGTAAAAAAAAAACAATAAAAAAACAAACATGACGGCACCCTCAAATCAAATATATCGATAAGTATAAATATTAGTATTATTTATGGGCTCAGTAACCATTTCTGCACAACAGCCCGTTCATTTCTTTAACCTATCTAGTTGAAATATCCCATCTTTAAAAAAAAAATTAGTCGAGAATCTGCTTCTTTGTCCAGCTTGAGATATTAGCTACTTTGTATTATTAATTACTTTGATTCAAGTTCAACTTTTTTCGTTCAATATTTTGAAAAATTAATACTATTGCTGGTATGTTCATTTATTGTGTCTATGATTTGCAATGCAGTCTGCTTTGTCGTACTGAACCATAGTAGGTCTTTTGGTTCGCCATAAAATTGATTTGCCCTATATATTAATCCTGTTTGCTTTTTTAAGCTTTTGAATATTTTTTTTAAGTTTGTGATTGAACTAATCAGTAGTATTGTTAGACATTATGTTTTGTGCGCGTGTGTGTGTGGAGAGGGGGGGGGGTGTATTCATGTGATGAAATGTCTGATGCAAGAAAATCCAGCTTTTATTATTAAAATAGGCGGCCAGAACTCCATGAATTATTTCTGGAAAGTACGATTAAAACAAAAATAAAAACAAAATCAATGTCACAATCCCATGTTACGAAAGAAATGTGTAGATTGGCACGAAACAATATGACCTTCAACCAGTCGATCAGTCAAATCTTATATAATCAGTTAATTTTGTGTTTAAAAGAGAAGATAAATGAATAAAAAGCAAAACACAGTATCAAATCCTTTCCTATTTCATGATGTTTGGGTTGAAAATCTCCAAACAATCTCAGAAAGTGTTCCATGAGTGTGAAGAAGAGAAATACAAGACAATTTTAACACACGCTTTGTTTGATTTCATCTCAGAATTAAAATTCTTAAAGGTCATTTAGACCAAAATCATACGTTAGAGGAAATAAGTAAAATAAAGGTACTTTTTTCTTGAAACTTGCTTTATTTTATAAACTTTTTAAACAGTTTATCTCATACAATGTAGTACTTGAGACAATATCTATTACCGTCGCATGTTTTCTTTTCAAATATTTATTTTCAGACGAGAGAACAAACGAAGAAACTCTAAGAAGTAAGATTTTAGTTTAATTTATATAACACTTATCATTGGACAGAAATACAGTGTTCTTAGAATTTTGATGGAATTTCCTATTACCTGTACATTATTACGACTGTATCAAGATTAATTTCTTTAAAGTTTGTTTTATTCAGGCACTTCGAACGGAACTCTTTTAATTTGAATTAAATGTAGCAGCTTTTCAGAAGCCTCAAAATGAAAATACACAGAATTAGGAATTAGATTGTTTGAATTTAAAACTGAAACCTTAATTTTAGAGTAGATACAAAATGCTGAAAAAACTCTCATTCTCAGAGAATTGCTGTAGCGAAATTAGTGTCCCCAACCTTCATGTGTAATCTAATTTCCCAGATAATTGAAATGCCGTAATTCCATAAAAAACCACAAAGAACGGAAGCAAAAAAAAAACCCCAAACTTTATCTCATCTAATCAAGGTGAAGTCACATAATTACCAAAACCCAGAAATTTAAACGATTTAAGGTAGGTCCCTACTCGTGGAATTAATTGGTTAATAGTGCAATTTTTGTCCTGATTTACATTAAGGTAAGTCACTCCTCAAGTTTGTTATATCAAGGATTTTTTGAGAAGTATTTTTTTGATAAGTACCCATAAAGTGTAATTCAAAATTGCAAAGAAAATAGGGGGTCAGTGTGCATGCTACTGATCTACGGTACATTTAAGTTGACCTTTTTGCACTTACATTTCATCTCTTTGGTTAATTACTTTAACCCTTATTATATTTGATTAGATGTAAGCAAGGCAATAAATATAATCTTTTTTTTTGTAAAATAGTTTGAATAATATTTAACATTATAAAAATCTTGCAAATTAATGCACGTAAATTATTGTTTGACCTTTTTGCACTAAAAATTAACAGATTTGGGGTATTAAAAAACTTAATAAGCAATAAAAAATTTTCTTATATCAATCTTATATCGACTTGAGTGCTGATCAGTCACAAGCATCGAGTAGTTTAAAATAATGAAAGAAAAAGGTGGGGTCAGTGATGTTAATTTTGAAATATTTGTCAAAATATGTGATTTTCAGGCTAAAAATGGTGTAAATTTGACCTTGACTTCTTTCATATATTTTCATTTTCTGGGAAAGTTTGTTGAGGGAAGGTGTGAAACTTAGTCTAAAAATATAAATTAAGACCCATATTAAATATTTTTAGCAATATCAAAACGGAAAATATTCTCCAAGTAAAAGTATGTGAGGCTAAATTTCCATTACATTAAATTTTATAAATGTGCAGATTTGCAAAATTTTCTGCTAAATATCCTTCCACCAAAAGAAATAGTCCCTCATAAATCTTGCTTCTTTGTTGATTTTTGGGCAGTTTTTTCATTGAATGTTAAAAAATTTACATTGTTGAATATAAATATGTCATAAAAACTGAATTTTGGTTAGTAGTTTTGAAGTAAAAGCTTCTGCGTGAACTTTTCTAAAAAGCTGAGGAGTGACTTACCTTAAGGTCAAGATCTAGTAAATAACTTGAGACTAATTTTTTGGTGCTAGATCCATTATGACGTCATAATCAATTTCAACTTTCTTTTTCCCGTACTTTACGGCACTAGCAGAATTATGTAGAAAATAGGGTATTTTCATGTCATTCAATTTGAAATCATAAGAAAAATAAACCGGATACCTATATTACCTTTGATATTGATTTAAAGAAGGGGCCATGAAAGTACTAATTACCGTTTTCTGAGAGACTGTAGGCAATCTGGATACATTTCCTTTGCCGAATACGAAAAAAACTCCCATATTCATGGGTATTTTTCTTAATTTTTCATTGAAAATGATAGTTTAAAATACAGTTTTTCATCTTGTTTACCTACAAATTATGCCCCGAAACATCTTATTTGACCAATCTAAAGTTGTAAAGCATGAATAAAGGAATTTATTTCTAAAGTTTGATAAATCTGTAGGCACCTTTCATTTACTAGATCTTGACCTTAAGAGATACTTTATCTACTTCAAAAGCACAAAATGTAGATAGATAATCTCTATATTTAAAGAGATAGGGTGTAAAACACTGGTGTACCCTCTTGTACAACAAACAAAATCCTGACTGTTATAAAGACGGTCTACATTTTATGTCATAGCACACGGCAAATAAATTCTTTTGAATATAAATCAGAAGGATAAGGATAATATTGAATAATTTCAGGCTTCGGTACAAATTACTGGTTGAAACTTAGAAAATATCGAAGAATTAATCTCATTTTAGTAAAAAGTAGCAAAGCTCAAAACTCAAATAAAGCTCTCTACTAGAATAATTTATTTGTTTACCCTGATTTTTTTCTCTTTATTTATGTCAACGGATGCTTGAAGGTTCTTTTAGGCATGATAAATGTATTGGTCATCTGTTTTTTTACCGATATATGGGGTAAAATATACAGGTACCCCCATCGCAGTTTAATAGCTAGAGCCTTTTATGTCAACAAAAATATTTATAAATCAGCTAAAAAGTGAAATATTCTTTTTAAAACAATTTTATCAAAATGTGTACATCTGTTTCTAATCATAAACATAATTTTTATTGTCACATAAAATTCTGAATATTTTATATACAAGGGGGGGGGGGGGCATGTCCACTACTTATGATACGACTTTCTGGATGCTTATTACTACTTACAAAAGATTATTAGCAAGATATACAATATTTTGCAAGCAAAATTATGTCTTAATTTTCATATACAACATCAGTAGCCTGTGTTGATCTTTTTATTATAACTGCGTACCTTCATTTGTATGTAGAAAATTTGCCGTCAAAACGTAAGTAGGAAAATCACATCTGCATATCATACCAATTGTGCGCAAATAAAAACAATGAACGAAAAGTGTTATTTATTGACATAAGAAATTATTTGCTACATTTTCTGTAAATAGGTATCAGAAATATTGGTTGTACCAATGCAATCATAAACGTATAGTATCAATATAACATCCTAGGTAAAATATATCAGAATTGACTGGTATTCGACCTGGCGCTTGTTTTTATACTGTATAAATCTTAGTCTTTGCACGAAAAAAAAAACTCAATCATCTTTATACACCACTCCAACACTTCTGTAGACATTGTTTAAGTTCTTGCTAATGTTATCAAGCTCCAAACATCTCAGTATTACATTAAGTTACAACTCCATATCATTATTCGTAGGGCACAAAAGTAGTCCCGGAGAATTGACACTGTATGGAGTTTGCTAATGTTATATGAACCATAATATTAAAACCGAAAACGGCTAATTCCGGATTCCGATTAATCACGAGTAGACCCCTACTTTAAGAACGATTTAAGGTTCTAAAAATGCAAGAAGAGCTGAGAACTAGAACCCAAGTTTCGTTAAATTCCAACGTTTGTTGACGAAAATGGTAAAAAAAACAATAAAAAACTAACATGACGCCACCCCAAAACCAAATACATCGATTAGTATAAATATTAGTATTATTTTTGGGCTCAGTCACCATTAGTACACAACAGCCCCTTCATCATTTCAGTTCATCTAATTGAAATTTTCCATTTTTTTTTTTATTTAGTCAAGAATCTTAATATTATGAAATACAAATTATGAAAACTAATAGCATTTTTCTCGAAACGGTATTCAATTTCTGTATTGTTCCCGTTATCATGATACCGAACCCCTTTTCACGGAGAGGTCGATCATATGTTCCTCGACCAATGAAATCTCTCTTACGTATCATGCGTCCTTGTTCTATTTGAATATTTTGCAGCTGTATCAAAACTGTGAAATTTATTTGCCCAACACCTCCCTAACGCTTGTTTATCCACCTTGAGATATTAGCTTCTTTGTATTATTAATTATTTTGATTCAAATTCTTAAACTATTTTTTGCCCAACACCTCCCTAACGCTTGTTTATCCACCTTGAGATATTAGCTTCTTTGTATTATTAATTATTTTGATTCAAATTCTTAAACTATTTTTCGTTTAATATTTTGGAAAACTAATAAAATTGTTGTTCATTTATTGTGTCTATGATCTGAAATGCAATCTTTTTTGTCGTATTGAAGTCTAGTAGGCCCTTTGGTTCGCCATAAAATTGATTTGCTCTATTTTGCACCTCCTATTTTTCTTTTTGATCCGACACATATTTTGGGTTTCCCAGCCACAGCATAACATGGACTTTGCCATTATAACTATTTTTAGACTGCCATGAAAAAATATGACGAACAACCAATCGATCGGTCAAATCTTATGTTAACAGTTAAAGTTATGTTTTAAAAAAGATTGATTGATTGATTGTATACTGTTTAACGTCCCTCTCCAGAATGTTTTACTGATATGGAGACGTCAACATTGCCGGTGAAGGGCTGAAATTTTAAATAAGGTCTATGCTCACTTACGGCCTTTAAGCAGGGAGGGATCTTTATCGTGCCACACCTGCTGTGACACGGGACCTCGGTTTATACGGTTTCATCCGAAGAACCGCCCCATTTACGACAAGCAATGGGGTACTGAGGACTTTCTAACCCGGATCCCCACGGGGCTGTTGAAAGCAGAAGATGAATGAATAAAAAGCAAAACACAGTATCAATTCCATTCCTGTTTTATGATGTTTTGGGTGGAAAAACTCCGAGCAAACTCAGCAACTGTTCCTTGAGTGTTTAAAGGAGAAATAAGTTACAAGTTTAATACACGCTTTGTTTAATTTCATCACAGAATTAAAATTCTTAAAAGTTGTTTAGAGATATTTGTTAAGTATAAGTAGTAAATAAATATTAAAATTATTATTTATGTCATTTTAAAAAATAAAAAATGTAAGTTATTTCATTCATTTTTATCAAGAAGTCCACGCTGTCATTATGCATGCTGAAGCAGACAGAATGTCAGCTCAAATATTCAAAGCAGAATTGAAGAGATCGGCCCATGATATGGAAGTTGAGATGCTACAAGAATTCTCCCATCCGGGAAAAACACACTTTGAGAACCTTGACCAGATTTTTGAGAATAATCATTTTGTATTTTTATGGGTTTCAAGGAATCTCGGAGATGAAAAGGAGCTCCTACAAATGTTTTTGGCAGATATCTCTCTAATAGAAAGTAAATCAAGTAGTGAAAGATATGATAAATTCATTCCAATATGGGGACAGGCAGATGCAAAATCTCTGTATTCAAAGTTCAAACCTTTTACAGGGTTTAATTTTCATGGCGTCAAAGATGACTTCAATAAGTTGAGGTCGCTTCTAAATCAGGCAAACGAAGATAGTGACGATATTGATTTAAAGTAAAATAGTTTGCTATGTTGTGTTAGACCATTGATTAGACAGATGTTTATCCGTGCGTCTGTCCGTACCATACATCACATATGGAGAAACGATGTGCAGTTCATTCGTGATGTTTCCACGTGATTAATTTCTCATTTCATTATTTTTTTTTAATATTTAAATATGAAATCGATCTTTTTAATTTTTTTTTCTACAAGCCCTGGTCATAGTTTTATGGGTAGAAATTTGATTGTCAGTTTGAAATTCACGATACCTTTCTTTTAATAAGAAGGTAACACGAATGCAAGAAATCGTCGTTTTGAAGTTTAAAAGGCGGTCAAAACTCTTCATGGAATGTAAAAACATATTAATTTTGTAAAAATATACATTTCCCTGCACCTATTCAACGGCGGAAGAAAGGAATCATCTTGCAATTTAAATTTCATACACTAATTCGGTTTTATTTTCCTCAATAGAACAATGTACTCTTGCTTCGAATTTTCAAATTAAAATGGTGGTCCCAACATTCACTTTGGCAGAAACATTATTGGCTCACCTGAGCCGAAGGCTGCCTTTCTGGTCAAAAATTTTCCGTCGTATGTCGTCGTTGTCGTCGTTATAAACTTTTTAACATTATCATATTCCTCTCAAGAACGACTGTGCCAATATTAACCACATTATTTACAAAGTATCCTCAGGTGAACGGGATTCAAGTTTGTTCAAATAAAAGGCCATGCCCTCTTCCAAGAGGAGATAATATGCATTTGTGAAAAAATAATGGCATTTTAAAAAAAATCTTTTTCTCAAGAACCACTGGGTCCGGAAAGATGAAACTCATGTGGAATCATCCTCAGGTATTGTAAATTTAAGTTGTTTGTTCAAATCATGACCCCAGGGGTAGGATGGGGTCACAATGGTCAAAGTTTTACATAGAAATATATAGGAAAATTCTTTAAAAATCCTCCTCTCAAGAACCATTGAGAAAGGAAAGATGATACTCAAATCATAGGGAAAGGGTTGGGCCACAATAGCCAGTCAAAGTTTTACATAGGAACATATAGGGAAATCTTTTAAAATCTTCTTCTCAAGTTCACGATTAAGTGATATCTATATGAAAGCATCATCAGGTAGTGTAGATTTTAGTTAGTTCAGATCATAACCCCCGGGTGTAAGGTGGGGCCACAATGGGGGATCTAAGTTTTACAATACATTATACTAAAAAATGTACTTCTCAAGAAAAATAAAGTCATGATTACAGGTAGGTAGAGTATAATTATTTTTTATTCAAATCATAACCCCCAAGGGAAGGGTGGAGTCTCAATGGGGGGTTAAAGTTTGACAATAGGAAAATAAAGGGAAAATTTCCTGGAACAGAAAAGCAATGTTTAGTCATATTGACATGTAAGCATCTTTATGTATTGAAGATTTAAATATTGAAAAGACCATTTTTGGCCGGGGGGGGGGGGGGGGTGGACAACGGAGAATCAAATTCAAATTATAATGAAGTAATAAATACAATCAAAACGTTAAAAAAAATTAAAAACATTTTTCTCAAGAACAGCAAAGTTATATGCTGTGATGATATGGAGACATTCTAGAGTAATATTAAAATTCAAGCCCCCTACCCCTACCTCCCCCGGTAAACTTTTCAATTCTGATCTGATTTGTGATTTATCCTAGCCGATATGCTCAGGTGAGCGATGTGGCCCCTGGGCCTCTTGTTATAATTTCCGGTAGTAGATTTAAAAAAAATCAAAGGATCGGAGGAAGAACTTTATCCTTAATAGTTAGTATATAGAACTTGCCATTTTCTGTATGTTCTCTTTATGGAAATTATCGCCATTTTAGCTCCAATACAGCGAATTTGTAAATGAACAGAATGAACACTATTTCCCGTATCCCGTATGACAAATCTTCATTTTCAGAAAGTTCTTATCGCTTAAGCTTGCAATTTTAGAACTAACTTTGTTGAGGCATAAAAATTTTTGGAATTTATTTTTTAATCCAGCGGTTGGAAACTTTCTATTAATCCCTGCATCTGCTTGTAAATAAACTTGTTTATATCAACATCATAGTGTTTACCACATCTGAGTGGGCATATTACTCGTGAACATTAGCTTTCTCTTGCTTTAATTTGTCTTTCTTCAAAAAAGGTACATGTAAACCTGGACACTTTTAAGAAAACATGTAACAGTGCGACATTTAACTCCGGACACGACATAGTCCGGACTTTTTACTACCATTTCCAATTGCGATATCAAAAAAACATTAATATTACTTGGTGGGATTTTCTAGCAGTAGCACATAATCTCATGTTGAACCCACAAGCTTATCTAGTTTAAGAAATATTAAGTCCCAAATATCAAAATCCCATGGGAGAATGGTGGGATTTTCAGTCCCACCAATTATCCCACCATTATCCCATGGGAGAAAAAATCTCAGATGGGAGAAAAAATCTCAGATGGGAGAAAAAAATCTCAGATGGGATTTTTTCTCCCATCTGAGATTTTTTCTCCCATGAAATTGTAATCATGGGATAAATCCCACGAACACTCATCAGTGGGATATTTTCTCCCACATACTGTCATGCATAGGATTTATCCCATTAAGTCCACTGTATGGGAT